ATGTTGTTGTTGTTCATTTTCAATGGTTAGAGGAATAAAGAGATGTTTCTTCCTCTCATGTTATCCATTTATTCGTTGTTTAGGGTTTGAAGATAGAAGACATCGTCATCATCCTCATCACCAAAACCATTTTCTATAATTCCTTACACTTTTGTGTTATCAAGATTACAATAGGGCGTTTTGAAAACATTTCTTGATTTTCAAGAAAAAACATGTAAAATATCAAATAAAGGAATCAAGACAATATGGTTAATTAGGGCTACATATAATCTCTCATGGTTAGCTTATCCAGTTTCATGAGATGACATTTATTAGTTTCTCAACATCAGATAGTTTTAGAGGCTTCTGCATAAACATTTGAGCTCCGCTCGCTAAACATCTGCGTTTAAAAATGACCAAAAACAGAACATAAGTTTTTGATGTTTACTTATTTTTTTTTTTAATAAATTTTGATGTTTACTTAATTACTTCCATAAGAAGAAACAAAGGTTCTTAATCAGATCTCAATTTGTTCTTACTTGTTGACGCGAGTAGGAATGTTCTCTGAAGACATTATCACAACAGGAACCTCTTTAAGATATGATGACTCCTGCTACAGAACATACAGAGAGGATTATTAGATCGCAATCAAACCGATAAAAATCGATCTCTTGATTTTGATTCTAAGAAGTTATTTACCTTCACTTTCTTGAGTAGCTCGAATCCTGTCATTCCAGGCATACAATAATCTGTGATGATTAGATTCACCTTCAAATCCTAGAAAACAAATCAACACATTTTGAGTTTTCTCTATATATAGACCTAATATCAAATGTGTCATAACGAAAGATCCATATATATATTATTTTTTTGTCAACAGCTTATATTAATCTATATCGATTCAGAAACCCAAACCTACAATCCATAGATCTTGAAGATTGTTTTTGCTTACATTATTGGTCAATGCGTCCAAATACTCCAATGCTCTAATCGCATTTTCTGCTGTTGTCACTGCAAAATAATTCACATTTTAGAGACAAAGAACACAAAAAGTAATGAATTTTGATCAGAAATAAAAATTGAATGGTAAATAAAAAGATGGAACCTTTGCAAGAAGAGATCTTGAGCAACTTCTCAACGAGTTTACGGTCAATGAGATTATCATCAACAGCTAAAACATGAAGCTCTTCATGACTATGATCATCATCATAATCCACCTCCATTAAAGACGAACAAGAACCACTATTGATCATCGTTTGTTTCCTTAGATGTCAAGTAACTGAAGAAAGAAAACAACTTGACAATAAGCAAAGAAGCAAGACTGGCTCTTGGAATTAATACAAAGACTTTGGAGACATTGCTTTTAATTCAAAAAATCAAAAAGACAAACATGAAGAAGAAGAAAGTGACAGATACAGAAGAGTATAATTATAAATATATGTATGAATCATGTGAATCTGGTGATGGTATTTATGGTGGG